TTTTATTAAATTAAAAATACTACATCAATTACAAAGTCTATTTGTAATAATTTATTTCTTATAAAATTATTTATTTCATTGTTATAATAACAAAAGAATCGATATTTTTTTCAATTCACAAGTAATTATGGATTTATTAATATAGTTGTCATAATAAAGTTTTCAAAATGTTTGAAAAATGAAACGAATTTCATTTTGTTTAGGAACATATGTCACTAACGAAAACATGTTATTCGGATTTTTGGAAAATGTTTCATTGACTGAAGTGCATCTAGGTCAATTTTCATTATGCAAACATATAATGAAACCAATTTTATTAATGAAAAAATGAGATACAGTTTTCAAAAAGTTTTTGTTGATGAAATCAATTTTACTAATGAAATCGTATTATTTATTTTGGAAAAAAAATTCATTCATAAAACCAATTTCACTAATGAAATGTTTGTCAAATCCAATAATGTTTGATCAAATGAAGCAACATCAGCAACTTAAAGACAACCTGGAGTTAGCCTATACTCTAGTTATTCATTAACTGTCACTCTTCTAGTCAGTGAATATACTCTTAATTAAAGTTTATTGTGGAATTTACTTTAATTGTCAAAGTTATTCATATTATATAAGTTTATTCTTTCCTTGTAATCTTTGACAATTAAAGTAAATTCCATAATAAGCTTTATCACTGAAAAAGATCCCAAAACAGTTAAAAGGAACAAGTATTTTACTAGTATTTTTTCCCTACTGTAATACCGAAGCAATTTTCTTTATGTTGTTTTGTCATCATCAAATAAGGGGAGATTGTTGATTCTCTCTCTCAGTGATTTGATGATGATCTTTTTTATCTTACGAAGTGTACTATCTCTTTATCCAGCTGCAACGATCATCATTGAGTCTGTTCAGTGATCGCTGAACAAGCATTGTAATTCTCTCAGAGACAAGTATTCTTCAGAAAGACAAAACTCACACCACTGAATCTTCAATGATATCGAAGATAAAGAAGAAAACATAGACAAGAAAGTTGGTGATCTAATGTGGTTTTCAGTGATAACAAGCATGTCTACACAAGTGTGAAATCTACTTAAGATTCAACGAACACTGAAGAAACCTCATCAGCGATCAGATGAATCTTGTTGAATAAGATTAGTTTTGTCTTGTCCTTCTACACACAAAAGACAAACTCATACCTCTCAAAGTAAGGTACTTGTACGGAGTCACTCTGTTGTCTCCAAGCATGCTTACCTACTTTCTAAAAGACTACTGTTCATATACGGCAAAAGCTTGTATATCTGGAACAACGGACAAACTCACCTCTAAAACCTTGTCACGTGCTTTGTACCGACTGACTTGCATTTAATGGAACATGTCTAAATAGCTGAGAAGCTCTTCCTTCTCTCAGCATCTCCTTCTAAACCACTCTAACAAGTGAAGAGCACAAGACTTTTTAACATTTTCTTTTAGCAAGTCTTTTCTTTCTTGCTTTCTGTATCTTGTGTGTTTCTTTGATTATTTAGATAAGTTCTATATCTTATCTTTTCTGCAAACAATATGTAAAATTGTGTATTAATCTTCTTTATCAATAAAGGATTTTAAAAAGTGAAAGTTGTTGTGTTTCTATTCATCCCCCCTTCTACAAACTGTTATCTTTAAAATTTTGTAGTTCCAGCTAGGACCAACAATAAATATAATCAAATACATGATAAAATTTTCATTTAAATATATCTAAAATATAATCATGATAATTATTGAGTTCTAACAGAATACTTGGTTATTTATCTTTATAAAAATTATATTATTAAATCAAAAACAAATTACTTCGTCATTAAATCTAAATTAAATTATAATAAAAAATTAAATTAAAAAAAATTACACAAAAAAATAAAAACTTTTATATTTTTTTTAATTTTTATGATATATTCAAATTTATATGTAAAAAAGTATTATTACTTGCTCAAAACCACATAAATCCATATTAGAACATCGATAAAATAAAACGAAACATTAAAATCAAGATATATATCGCTTCATTACGAGAGTACCCTTCTAGTCGTATTAAAATGGGTTGAATTCAAAATAGTTGTACAAATTTATACCATCCTATTTATACAAAGCATTTTAAAAGGTGCCTTATTTTTGCAAGTATGGTGGCACAGATGAAAAGGGGACATCGAAAGAGTTACCTATACAATGCAAACTTTTATCGAGTTCATATTCGAATATAAAAGGCAATTGTACCCAGAGAATGCCATCCATGAGGCAAAGAGTCGGCTTTGAAGACTCGAGCAATCGGGAACGATCCGTAACTACGTGAAGGAGTTCACCAGAGTCAAGACCATACCTACAATTCGTGAACGAAAAGATAAGGGGATCGGATGTGCAAACCCTTGTAGACACATGTGTCACCTACAATTTTATTACCTAGCCGCAAAGGGAGTGAGGATCGAGATTGGTAGTTGGAGTCGTACTAACGGTTATCCCAATGGACGACTTCCAACTCATGCTTGGGATGGATTTATTCAACGAACTACAAGTCTTTCACATACCTTTCTCTCGTTCACTGTGCACTGTAGATGGAGGTCGGACATGTTTGGTGAACACCATCAAACACCGCAAACGCAGGTCGGTTTGGCCATGCAACTCATGGAAGAGATAAGAATCCCTACCCTCGAGGAAGATCGTGAGAAAGAGAAGAGATACGAGGGAGAGACTCTCAAACAAAGTCGAAGAAAAAGTGGAAGTTCGAGCAGAGAAGTTGATTCACGAGTGTCTTGCCTATTTAGATGCCACCCACCTTTAAAAGGCGTTTTCAGTCTTGTTTTTAGATACGAAAACAACACGATGTTGGTGTTTTACTCTCGTTTTCTATCTAAAAACAGTGACAATTTCGATAATCTCATTGTAAATTTTGTGTAATTCAAGATTATAAGAGGATAAAAACATTGCTTACTGAAATAGTTCCAAACGTACTAAGGTAAAAAAAAATTCTTATAGAACTCGTAAAAGAGAATGAATCTACAATCCTCAACACGTTAAAACGAACATCTAAAACTAAAACTCCAAAATCGACAAACAATTGTCAAAATCTAAACATTTGCGAAGGAGACGTCGATCCTCCAACGTCGAGATTTTCAAGTGGGTCCTAAGGTAAACCCTCAACAAGGCAACCGACCCTTGTTACCTTTATCTACAACAAAGCACATTCGTACAAAATGGCTGCCCATCGTTATTCAGACGATAAAAGGAAAAAAAAAAGACATCACTGTCCCACTTCGCTTTCATCTAATTACCTTCTTTTTCAGAAAATATTTCTTGTAAGGGATTCCAGTTGCTCATCTTCATTCGTTGGCAGGCAGCTGCAACGAACCATCCTTCATCAACTTGGAACTAAGACTGTTAAAACGCTCTCGTGAATACTGTCTAGATGCTTTCCTCCAATCGGTACCAGCCTTCATCATAGCAGCAAACTCCTCGTAGCTGATTCGCCCATCCTAATGCATTCAGAAGTTTAAACATCACCAATTCTCTATAGCTATCACTTTGAACAAGTGATTAGTTTGATCAATAGTTTCGATATGTGTTTTGTAAGTGCTTATTGTGGCTTAAAAGAATAAGACATGGATAAGTAATTACTAAAAACCAGGGATAGGTATGTAATTTTACATTTATCTCAATAATAGGACTCCAAATTTGATTATCTTTTTACCCTAACTAAGCATAAAATCAAAATCATAAAAACTTTCACCCAAGCACTCAAAAACGTACACCGAAACACCCCTTTTGATAAAAACCAGATCAAAAGAAGTCGGTATATACCACCTGAAAGTAGAGTCTAAGGGGTGGAATGCACACAGACCTGTCATCTGCCTAGAAGGGTAGAAGGTGGTAATATTGATAGTAGTCATAAATTTACTGATTAATTAGTGAGACGACGCAAAGTAGTAATTCTTAATTCTTATGCTAACTAACCTTGTCTGTGTCGACATCAAGCATTATCGTGTTGATTACTCCTTCAATACCCTCGGCATTCGCTTCGTCACTCAATGCATGACGTAGATCTTCGAACTCTATAAAACCATTTTGGTTTTGATCAAAGAATGCAAAAGCTTTGTGTAGGTGCTCATCATTTGCCATTCTCTTAAGATGCACATTGACGGCCACAAACTCGCCATAGTTTATGGTACCGTCTCCATCAAGATCAACCTGCAAATTCATGTTTTTTTTGTTCATTAGTCAACAGCTGCAAAAGGACCTCATCATCATGCAACAAGCACTGCAACAAAATTGGCTTTATAGGATGCCTAGAATGTATAAGTGACCTAATTGAATACGTATAGAACTTAAGTTTATAGAACCAAACTATAAAGCGTTACAATAAGTTTATAAGACGCTTTTGGGTGTTATAACAAGTTTTGTAGGACGCTTTCAAAATAAAGTGTCCTATTAGCTATTTTATAGGACACTTTTGAGTAGTGTACTATAAACCCATCTTTTTATAAGATACTTTTTCAGATAGTGTTGTATAAAATAGCTAATACGACACTTTATTTTAAGAATGTCCTAAAAGATTTGTTAAAAAGCCTAAAAGCGTCCTATTGTAAGTTGGATATAACGCTAGCCTTTGGCACACTTGGCATATGAGCCCCGAGCTTGCAAAACAAATAATAGAAGACAAAGAGCAAGTGGTAGGTGAGAGTGTATGCGAAGCAGCATCAACAAAATTACGGAAGCTACGTTAGATCAAAGAAGGAAGAACAGAGTACAACACTGACAACTACCAATGCAAGAAGAAAACGATAAGCTTACGAGTTCCATCAAGACTTGAAGATCTGCATCATTTATTTGTTGGCCGAGTTTGTGTAAACCAATTCGAAGTTCTTCAAGATTTATCTTGCCCTTGTTGCGTGTATCCATTATCTCAAATGTCTCCTTTATATCAGCCACTTCCTCGACCGACAAGTGCTCGGCTATCACCTGCATAATACATTCAAAGTGACAAGTTGGACTTTAATCTTACTTTTTAAACTTCTCGGTTAAATATAGTTGATTTATGCGGGTTTCGGCATTTTGAAAGGCATAACGAATTCATGGAGACGCAAGATTAGCATAGCAGATTGTGTATGTACATCAAAATACTTAAATCTGGCGACTTTAGGGATTTCAAAAGGCATGACCTCATATAGGAATTCGTGGGAACGCAAGATTAGAGTAGCAAATTGTGTATGGAGGCTTAACGTGGATTTTACATAAGTAAAGTAGATCATAAATCTTACTCCCAAAGCTCGTTTCTTGAACTTGTTCATCACTGAGAACTGTTTAAGCCTTGACCTGACAACCTCGCCCAATGAGACATTTGGAGCCGCCTTTGCGTCCAATAACCACGGGTGTTCTGCAATCACGATATGGAAGCAATAACAAAAACTAATTAGTTTACACCTAAGGAACGTAATCTATATCTATATACTACAACATACCGAGAACTTGTTGAGCTGTAAGTCTACGCTTTGGATCAGGATTAAGCATTTTCTTCACGAGATCTTTGGCGTTTTCAGAAACTTTAGGCCATGGATCTCTCTTAAAATCAATTACCGACCGTATAATTGCTTGAGCTACTCCTTGTTCGGTTTCTGAAGATAACATATATGTGAGCTACTCTTTGATACCGAAATGAGAAAATTAGACAAATGTACTTTTTATCTTTTTTCTTAAATACATATGCATACAAAAAGATTTATCAATGCCATATGCGTATTTTCAAAACCATATCAATTACACACGTTATGTTAAATTGAAATTCAAATACTAAATAACAAGGCATGGTTAGCTAGCAACCTATTTCTATATATTTATGGAAGCAAACCATACCTCCACCTGTGTCCGTGTGCGTGCGTGTGAATACATCAAAACGCAATGAATTTTGCCATAGTTCCTACTTAGTATAAAATTTTCTTGATCAATTGAATAGAGTTTCAAATTTTATATTTAATATAACAAACATTCGAATTTTCTATTTAATATAACAAAGTTTCAAAATATCGTATTTAATGTAACAAATGTAAAAAATAGTCTATCTTTACCCATTTTGACCGATAACATGCTAATCTTGTTATGTTTGATGGCATGGATGTCAAACCAAATTTTATTGCATTTGTCCATGTATTATATAAATACACACACACATAGAGAGAGAAGGGGGGGGGGGGGGGGGGGGGGGGGGGGCCATGATCATGTGAATTTTTTTCGTGAGAAAGTGAAGGTACATTTATATTATGTGATTGTTACATTATATTTTTAAAGGTCGTAACCTCCACAAAACCTGGCAAGGTTACATTATATTGTGTGAAGCTTGTAGCCTTCATAGAATATAAGGTTATAGGGTTGGGTTCTGCCGGTGAGGATGGAAGTTATGGTGAGAAGGGTGAGAAGGGTGAGAAGGGATCTCCACACTTGGATCAATCCTAATTGAAGATCAACACTAATGCGGTGCACCGAGATGCAACAAATCAATCCCCGTGATAAGGCGCAACTCATGGGTGGGGTTGAGATTAAAAAGATGATCAAGGGTGGAGATTTCTTCTTATGCTTCTCACCGTAACTTCCATTCTCACACGATCCTTCATCTAAGTTGAGTTGGGTTCTAGTGAGAAGAAGAGTAAGGTGAGAAGCGTAAAAATGGATCTCCACCCTTGGATGCACATTAGAATGAGATGCACCGGATAAATCACTGTATCAAGCGCGATTCATGGGTGGGTTTGAGATTAAAGGTGATCAAGGTTCCAGATCCTTCTTACGCTTCTCACCTTAACTCTCTTTCTCACACGATCCTTCGCTGTATATATATATATATATATATATATATATATATATATATATATATATATAGAGAGAGAGAGAGAGAGAAGCGATCAAATGAAAACCACTCCAATTTGTAAAAACCGTAAAAACTACTCTCATCCGTCGTAATCTTATGAAATTTTTTCACGAAATTGTTTAATCTTGTGAAATTGTTTCATATAATACT